CACCTTCAAAGAGACTGAGTGAGGTATCTTAAGTTAAGAAAATATTGATCACGTAATTCAAAGACAAAGCAGGCGTGTATCTGACTAAATACTTGATTAATTTTAGGGGATGGAATAGAGGTGTAGAAATTTTTCTCGTGGAAAATACGTGCGAATATCGGATTTTCAGCCATTCGGTTATTACGATAAATTAGTTTTGTGTGAATAAAGGTAGAATTTAATTCCGCCAATTAGGAGCAGTGTGTGCTCTATAAAGAGAGTAATAATTAATAGATATTATCCCTTTTCAATCAACAGGTGAAAACTTAATTATTCAATGAAAGACGGGCGCATGCGTTAATACCTCGATTGTATTGTATTGTATTGCACTAATAAACACCTTGAGTGTTTGGTATACTTGCTTCATACAACATAAGTTTTATATTTTATAGTTATTTGCTTCATTAAACTCTCTGTGTTTATATTTAAATTGCTCGCAAGTTAATTTGTAACAGCAACATATGGATTTTAGCGTCAATAATTAAAATATTCCGGTTTTTTTCCTTTTTACATTCCACAACTTGTGAAACATTAACTCCCAGTCGTGTTACCCCATGTTCGCGGAAGTCAGCTTCAAACTTTTCAATCAACTTAATATATAATCAACGAAAACTTACTCGACGTACGACATTTTTAAAACTCGTGATTTACAACAGATTAGGGGAGATAAACATGGAATGTACGAGCAGTCCTACCAGAGATGATTTGGAGGCCGATCTCCTTATTCGGCTCACTTAATTTAGCAACGTACTTTTATAGCAATAGAAAATAATAAATCGAACTATGGCGACACTGTAAAATCTCATTTAGGAACAATGCCGAAAAAATTATTTAATCTTCCATCTGAGCGAGGGTGGCTTTCAAACGCGTGTTTAAGGACTCGTAAAAACAAAAAAATCGATCAGCTGCACAATTCATACGGCTAAACTTTTGTTTACGCTTAAATTCATCGGCTTTGATAAGAACACGACCTTGACTCTTCTTCAATAAACCTACCTAATTTTTATTGTAAAGCTGAATCGTGATTATCGCAAACGTAATTACAAATACCAACAACGGAGTAATTGTACTAACGAAATTGCGACATTCAGACACTATTTTCTCAGTCTATTCAACAGAATACGACGTGCTACTTCCAAATACACACTCTAAAAAGTCTAAAACACGAACGATTCATTCGCACCGTCACTTTTGCTACACAAAATCATATACATCAATTTACGTTACAAAATTTCATGTTTTGTCCACACGTGCCACAAAAAGTGTTTATTTCGCAAAATAGCAACATTTACTTGCTTGCACATAATTTTTAATAGTAAACATCCGACAAGTAAAATTGCTGACAATTAACTGGTGGTGGATTCAAACAGCCGAATTCACACCGTGCTGCTAAGCTGACCCCAAGAAGGCCGAATTAACCAAGATACATTTAACGTTCGCACTGATTGAATTTTACGATCTTCCACGATACCGCTTGTTTAGTGCAGCTTAAACTGCTCTAACATTAAAATAAAAGTCGAAAATGTGATTCTTTAAGGTACAGTAACTTTGTATTGGACTAAGCGGGCCGTGCAATGAAGACTTTGTTATTTTTAGCGAGTGATGGAAAAATTTGTACCCTAATTAGGGTTCACCCTGTACAATATAGAACAAAAATGGATATTTAACGAGGTCGCTGGGATGTCAAAGAGTTGTATTGTGCGTATATTAAAAACCGGTGGCGCATTTTCCGGGTCTGAACCAAATCCGTAATTTTTCGAGTGTGGCCGTCACTTCCTGCACAATTTCCACGGTGCTAATTTTATCGTAAGTTTAGCCCTCGGCTCGCTGCAAGTGAAGGTCTTTCAAGCATAAAAGCGATTTTTTTATCGTTAGCAAGGTAATATAAAACAAAACAAACAATCGATTAACTATAAAATTTCTTGAGCTCGGCAAAACTCAATCCGATTTAAATATTAATTTCGTTAAGGACAGGGCGAACGCGCTACCTCTTCATAATTTCGTGAATAATAATTGGTTAAAGGGCAGAAAATTTCAATTTAATAAACTGCCACCTTGAGCCGGATATTGAGAGTGCTTTTTGATATATCTTCTAAATAATTTCGCCGGCTAATTCCAGTTGCTTTTAACTTTTTTACATTCAATCCGGAATTGAATTATAACGCTCCCTTATAACGTTAATCGCGTTATGACATTGTTGCGATTAATCATATTGTCAAAACTAAGCACAGAAAAAGTAAAATGGGCCGTCAGCGCGGTTTACGACTTTTAGGAAGGCATAAAATTGTATGGGAAGATGGAATAAGTTGACAATCAAGCGAGGGAGACAATGGGCCATAAACGTCACCGCCAACGTAAATAAATAACATAAAATATATTTTTCAGTCAAAACGGTAACGACGTTTGCTCAGACCCGTATACCGCCAATTACCTCCTTCGGGTATTAGCATACCAAAATTCCAGAATTCCGCATTACGCCCCAACGCACACCAGATTTTCACGCGACTATTGTTATTACTATCGTCATTATTACAGTCGAACTTCTAAAAATGTCATTAATACAACATACTGACGTCAATTGTAGTTGCTATCGATTACTACAATAAAATCCATTACATATTTCACTAATTTCATTGCGTATTTAATCAATTACGTTATCTCCCTTCAACGAATACGCGTCAGATGTGACGGTTAATTTTCGTTTCTATCTAAAAATGTTGCGACGGCAAAACGGTTCGTTGTAGAAGTTCCACTGTATCACAGATGGGTGTTAGTATATATAAACGGAGTTTTTGGTTATTTCACGCAATATTAACTCGCATACACTACTAATGATACTTTTTGTATGGGAAAACGGTAATTTACAGAAATCTGTTACTTTTGAAAACGGAAATAAGTGTGATTGTCAATGGTAATGGGGAATGAGCCATTACCATAATAATGAATTACATCCTTTTACAGGTTATATATTACAATAGTGTGGTTCTAATTGATTTGAATAGCATCTGCATTTAATTAGGAGGATGTTGTTTGGCCTTTTTTTGTTTTACGGCTTCTGGAATTCGAATTTTATGTAGGAATTACGAGACACATTATCGTTTCTTGTGGACGAAAGGATGGATAAAGCCGTATTAAAAAAAATCTATTTAGACAGTTAATGACCACTTAGTGGAACACGTTAACACTGCCGCACTTTTTTGTAAACTCGCTGCGCTCGCCGACGTAGCAACATGTTTCACAAACTCGCGAGATTCGCTCGCTACGCTCTATGCGTTCTTTATTTACATACGTAAAACTAATTTGCAGCCAACGTATCAAAATTTCCACACATTTTTTTCCTTCGAAAGGAAATGTGTTTCACGGACAAAGAGGATTTTTTCCGTGTGACAAAATTTGAAGCGTTCGAAACGCTATATCGCTTCAAATTGGAAAAAAAAAATCGAAAAACTGCTCAAATTTTACATTAACAGAACATTACTTTTTAAATATTATTTCACATTGCACTTTCAAATCACGAAAGTGAAAAAATCGCCACACCTATCCCATTTTACTCGAAACTCTGCCAGCAAATTCTTTTTTGCCTATCCACACGTAATTCGAAATAAAATTTGAATTTAAGAAATCACTCAAAATTCAGGATTTTTCATCAACAAAAGTGCCAGATTTTTTAAATCGTCGCGAAATATTCCATTTTACGCAAAATTTGGTCTAGAACATCTTTTTAGATAAAGATATCTTTTCAGGAAGAAAAAAATATTTCTTAGAAGCGGAAAAACCGCTTTCACAAAATAATAACAACAAAAAAAAATTGGTAAATTTAATGTTTTCTCAAACACGTCTGAAATTATCTATCTACTGTTTTATTTTGCGTAAAAAAAGATGAATTTCTTGGAAAATCTTTGAAAACTATCCCAATTTATCCGTAATTTTGGGCAAAATAAAAATAAATAATAACTTTTGGAACACTGTCGGAATGACTGAAAACAACAGATTTTGAAATAAAATAAGCATGAAAAATTAAAAAAACTATTTTGGACATCTGTATTTGCGTAAAGTAGAAAAATCGCCAAATTTCGTATCATCTCTTTCATTAATAAAGTGAGATAAACGATTTTTTTTTAGGAACTCGTCGAAAAAAAAAATAGTAAATTGAAAATACGGGATTGACTGAAATAAATTGCAAAAAACAAATATTGCAATTAAAGAGTGAGTTTTTCGTCGAGAATATCGCAAAAAATACGATACGTAAACCTAAGACAAGACGATTTTTCCAAATAAATCTTTTTCTTTGTTTTTAACACATAAAATTTACGCGATTTTTCGTCTTTCAAAGGACGATATTTGCGATTTTATTTGACGAGACGCCGCAAAAATAATTTCGTATTAAGATTAATATTAATTTATATGTAGCCCAACGTTATCTCAATTATTACGAATTGTAATTTAGTATGGGAACTTGTACGTTTCAAAAACATATTTTTTTAGGAAATCCCGGTCCGTGGTTTGGCAGTTTTGTGAAATTCCGGTTTTGCGCTTCCTTTTTCGCGTTAGAGGATCCGCAGCGGTGGGATAAACGCGCCCGACACACGTAATTTTTCTCTCGCTGAAATTCGAATTTTTTTTAATTAATACGATGACAGACGTTTTACTTTAGGCAGTCAAAGTAATGTCTTGTAAAGTAGGAATTAGCGTCGTTTTGGAAACTTGGGGCGATGAAAGAAAATGTGATTTTGTGCAGTAATGGGCGTTTTAATGGGGCCATAATGATCTAGCTGGCGGTTCTGGGAGTGTTATTTTGATGAATAATATTTGGTGTAAATGTTAAACACGTAGATTTGGCAAGTGATTTACGTGGCGGAGTTGAGCGATACCGGCGGTGTATTTATTGAAAATGGATAAAAACGTGAATTTATAGTTAATGGTAAACATTCTGAAAATAACGCAGGTTGTTTGTGGCTTACCTTCGAAGCACCTTAATTTCATTTTCGAGCGAATCTTCTTTACCTTTTAAAGCTTTTTTGTCGATTATTTTGACGGCGTACATTTGGCCCGGTCTATCTTTACTCTCGGCTAACCTGACGACGGAAAAGGCACCCCTGAAGAAAAAACAAATAGAGGTTAGAGTAATGTCAACAGATGCAAAACAAAAACCTACGTGCCAAGTAACTCCTTCAAGTAATATTTGTCATCAATTGAAGGTTGTTTATCTGAGTCTTTCCCATCTTTTTTGGTTTTCTTCTCTTTACCAAACAGAGGCATTTTTGGGAATTTCGCTTATTTTCTTCGAGCTCCTAACATAAATGTTGCACTTCTACGCGCATGAGAGAACACAAAACATTACTATACACTCGTGCGCGTTAAACACCTGCTCTCAGCGTTTTTGTGTCCATATAATTGCTGTATTACTTATCACAGTTTAACTGCGATAAAACTGAACTGATAGCCTAGCTGCCACACAACCGTCAAATTTACAACGTCCTACTGACAACTGCTACCAACAGCGCATCGACAACTTCCACCACGACGACTCGCGAATAAGACCCGCATGCTCTCAAAACCCACCCATTTACCGAGATAAATACCCCCCGAACTACCACCCAGCCCAATTAGCGGCAATTTTTTAATTTTCCACAGAAATCACTCGACGCGCAACAACAGCCGGCAACAGCGCAACTGCCAGGACCGGACTCGCCGCGCGCCAGACACGTTCTACAGACAGACCGCCACCTTTCACTGACATGCGCCGCCATTTCCACGAAATTTCCAATTCAGCGCCATTACCCTACAATCACTAATACGAGCAATTTACAAATTTACCATACTTGATAACGCGTTCAACTGTACGACAAGCAAATTTTATACAATTATGTAAACTGCAACCAGCAGAAAAAAAACATTACTAAAAAATTAATTTTAATATTTTTGGGGGTATTTTGGTATTTTGAAATCTTCTCAGACGTGAGTATTCATCATTTCATTGCCCCCAATATTTAAAATGTAATTTATAATGATTAGTATTTTGCCAAAAAAATAGGTAAACACATTTTTTATGAACGCATCATATTCATTTAATTCGTAACATTAATATAATATACAGACGCCATTTTCCAATACATAATTACTTCTATTCTGCCACTATTTGCAAGTGGATAATTGTCGACACGATCGAAGGTAGCTACACGATCGTTAAAGTTATTTATACTTCATTTGCACAATGCGATTTGAAATAATACCCACGATGCATGTGGGGAAAAGAGTGGTAGTCTGCTTCTAGACACGTCACCGCGTCTGGCCCCTTCCCCGATTTCAAGTTGACAAACCACCGCAACCCACGTCGGAATTCGATTTGTCATCATTAGAAAAACCGATTTTCCGCATTTCGCTAAAGTGCAGCCGCAACCATTAATATTTAAGTGAAAATATGTTCCTGAAATCGCAGTGTTTGATGACGGGGATTTATATTGGCGGTTTTACGTCACGTTGCGCATGCGCGTTTGCGTCTTACGCACATGTTCGTCAAGGTCAGTGGGGAAGCCGCCTCAGTACGCACCTGGCCATGGGTTTATTTATGTTTTGTTGCCGAATTTCTCTTTTGGCATTGTAATTAGACAGGCTAAGCACATCATTATCGAATCTACATATTAAGTACATTACGGTGTTGCTAAATATTTTCTCTATAATATGCATACAAATTGCCTCGACGGGTGTCATCTACTAAATTTAATTTTCTCTAATTACGGAGTGTTATACTTTTGAAAGGACAAAGTACTTAGCGCTATTAGAAATTTGAAAAATTACCCGAAGTGACGAAACCAATTCATAATTTGATATGGGGTAACCTTGACGACTAATAACTGGGTGTGCCCATCGTTGGACATTAGACCAATTATGTCATTAGAGGGACTTGATAGTAAACAACTCGTAATATACCAAATTTTTAATTAATAAAACGAGATATTAAATTATATAATCATATTTGAGTATAGTAAAAGCACAAATATGAATGAAAAACAAAGATATCACAACGATTTTATTAAACATATGAATCTAATCAACTAAATTAATGTGAAATACATAATGCGGAACCAATAAGTACTGAACTTACGTTGCAATTAAAAAAAACTCCGCCTCGACACTGAAACATAAAACACAGCTACATATACAATAGAATGCAAATCGAATGTTATTACATATATATAAATACTTTGAATTGATTATTTGTAATTACAGTATTTAAGCGGAGCCATTTTTATTCACTTCCACTTGAATCAATAATTTATGTATAAATAACGCTTTAAAAATAAATAGATGAAAATATAAAAATTCTTTAAACAAAATACCACGCTCCTAAACTCACAACACGATAAAAATATGTTCAAAATATATAAACAATAAAGGGTGTATAAAGATAAAAGCACAATCTAAAAAACAAGATGGCGCTGGTTCTCGTTAAGTCACTACGGACCTTCTCCAAGCTTAAGTTGTTTTCGATACATTATCACGCAATGGTAACTCAGACGACCATCAATTGAAATAATACTCCGAGCAATGGACGTTGACGATATTAAGTACATGAACTAGAAAGACGCGCCGCGCCATCTTGCACTTTCAATTCGAACAACAAATTGACCTAGTCAGGAGGGTGGTTTCGTGGCCTTAGATAAATGAAACTTACCTAAATTACGCCAATATTAAAATACCTTCGTACAAGATATGATATATTTTTTTGTATTTTTTTTTATATTTTGAATTTTAACACCACCGATTTGAACCTAGTTAACAAAACAAATGAACTAAATAGCAATAGATACCCTGAAAAAACAAAAAATATACAAAATAAAAATTTACATGCTTTTAACTGTATTTGGCTTTTCAGGGCTGGATTGTGTCGTAAACTAAACAGATATACTAAAAGTAGAACAATAAATAGCGCGTGTTTAAAATTGTAAATTGATTTAATTACTTAACTACGAAGAAGTTGATGGTCCCGGAGATCCATGACGCTTCTTGGACTTCTGCTTAAGTTCATCTAAATAAGTTTTCTGCGATTCAGCAAGAACTTGTGCCATTATCTCTTGATCAAAATCTTCAAACCCTACAACAACGTAAGTAATGCTAACCAACAACGAGCCAAAACCCACCTATACTGCTTCTATTAGAGGGGCCAGCCTGCTCTTCCACTTGAATCTTATAATCACCCGAAAAACTGCCCCCAAATTCGGTCACAGCCACATTTTCCGCCGGCTGTTCTACACGTATTGGTGAATGTTTGGCAAATAACGATTCCTCCTCAGTAGGAACACAAGTAGCCGCCACGGTCTCCGCGTTACCCTCGCTGCTAAAACTGTTGGTTGATGGAACTGAACCAAACGAATTCCTGGGACTCGCTAAAACACCCAAATAAACCACGGCCAAAACACTCCAAACTAGTACCTAGAGGTGAGAAAGTAGTCTTTGGAGAAGACGATCCTTTGGGTGACTGCGACCCTTTCGGGGAACAAGAACCCCGTCTGGAGGACCTCGGGCTCGAAATCATGGATGAAGTAATCGTAGAGCTGCTACCAGAAGCAAGAGGATGTCCTTGATTTTTCAAACGCCTCTCGGAATCGCGAAAATATTGAATGTAGGATTCGCGCGCGACCTGCTCCTCAATTGCCTCGTTCGTTGCCTCCCAGTCCGTTGCCTTTAGTTTGTCTTCCAACATGGTCTGCGTCAAGAAATTAGTTTGAATTTCGCGGTCGTGGCGGCCATTCAGAAACGCGCTTCGTAACGTCATGCTATCTCCGATAGGCGCTTGAAATTTACTTTCTCGTTGTCGTTTCTCGATGTTCAAAACGAGGGTCATTTCCAGGAATTACGACGAAAACTATTACGCAAGAAAATACTTCCAACATTAAACTATTTCACAAACATCAACACAAAAATCGCCTTTCAAAATTAGCGCTGTTTTGGAACCAATCACAGTGTAACTGCGGTGACGTCATTTTTCAGTATCCGAGAGTTTCTCCGCGCGAACAATATAGTAAAAAAATGTTGTTTTAAGAGAAATTTGGTGCCTGAAAATGGATTGTTTTCACATAGTGTGACACAGAATTGGTAAGTTGACACCACTTATTTCGGGTACAAGTTTCGATGGTGTTGAGTGGGAGTTAGTGGAGGGTCGTTAGAAAAGTTTATTCAAATTTTACAAACCGATAGACGTCTTTGCAATACGTGTCTAAAAATGCTCGCTTTCAACGTACACTGGCTCATTATTTCATCTTTGAAACATAATGAACTCAAGAAAGTTGTTCGAATTTTGAGAACTTAAGTCATCAAATGCAATTCGCAAGTGATAGGCTAAAACGTCGTTACTATAAGTCGACTTTGTGTCCCTTTTAAGTTGTGTTCGCCCCTTCGTCTTACCTGTTCAATCAGTAAATCATCGCTGGCGCGAACAGCATCATGCAGACGTCTTCTGTCAATGTCAATTGTGTGATAATTTGGTAAACCTAAACCTACACCTACTGAGGGTTTATTCGGATTACTAATAGAATTGTAGTGACACATTCTGTGATATGACAATCTTATAGGCTCATATGAGTTTATTAATCTGGAACCGTTGAATATATTGATTGGTGCTGAAACAAGAAATGTTACACAAGTCAACCAGAAAGTCTACACATAGTTACTTATTTGGTAGCAGTAAACTTCGATTGTCCTATTATATAACTCGCTCATGGCCTGAATCTCCAAATGATTTCCATGTACGTTCCATCTGCGTTTTCTGGCAACGTACTTATCGAAATCTTCCGTCACGTAAGGTTCAAAATAGTCTCGATTTTGCACCTAATTTACAACAGTTACAAAACAGCCACAGTCGCCGCCATACAACTTACAATGTAATTCATACAGTCCTGTCTGACTTGGTAATGGAATTCTTGATCTCCGTACACTTGATCAGCTATAGAGCGAAACAAGCAAGCCCCATCTTCATTCATTTGTTTGATCTCAAAGCCGAGATTCGACATCCCGCGCGAGAAGTAGTCGTCGCGCTAAAAACACATCTATATTGGTTTCAGAGACGCAGTTCGACAAACCTTTTGCCACTCTTCATCTGGAAGATTCCGTTCTTTAAGAAGGCCTTGATCGTCATATTCATCCTCGCTGTTGAAACCAGTGCAGTCTTCCTTATCAACAGTTCCCGATTCGTTGTTATTGCATGTAGGTTCGACGGCAACCGAATCTACAACGGAATTGCTGGTATTGTTGTCATGTAGCGGCTCATTGGAAATGTCGCGTTTAGCAACTCTATCGCGTTTTTGTTCTCTTCTCACTTCCCGTTTTTGTTCCCGTTCGCGTTCCCGATCTCTAGTGCGATCGGGTTCCTTATACCGTTTCCTAATCCGCTCTTTTCGTTCAGTGGATGACTTAACGCTAAAACGACTTGATTGGCTCAACATGCAAAAAAGGGTGTGGACACTTACTAAGGAAATTGAGATCGTCGATTTGAAGGGCTGGCTTCATTTAAGGAACCTATGTCATCCCGCCTTCGCACGGTTCTGTCGGAGTTCACCTAAAAAATTCGGAGTCAATAATTCACAACAAAGGAGACAAACCTATACAGTTCCTAAGTTGGTATTATTATTATTGGTCAACGCGCGACTACCTACCTACATTATTAAACCTAACTAATTACGCAATTGTGTACAAAATTTTGAAATTGAGCAAAGATTTAGCTAGCCGAACGCACTGACAATAAAGATAAGACGATTTATGAGTATGGAGTTTCTCCTTAAAAAAAGATCAAAAATGACAAGTTTAACACATCTACTTACATTTTGTTGACTGTTGTCGCTCTTTTCTTCTGGATTCGTTGAAGGTCTTTTTGCTGGTAAAATTGTCATCGTTTAATTTTTCAAAATACAGAAAATATCGCAAAATTATTGAATTATTTTCTATACTTTGACAAATCTTTGGTCAATTTCTGTCAACACACAGGGAACAGCTGCTGGGAACTGATACCAACATAGCCACCAAAAACCGATACCAATTTGATGACGGGCAGCACTGCGCAGTACAAAAGTTGGCGCCAATCGGTGTATTCGTGCAGGTCTAATCTTTCTGCGGTTAGTTTTCCAAAAACTATAAAGCCAACAGGCACTAGATCTACACAGGATTTCAGGAAAGGTAATCAGAAGACACACCCACAGCGCAGGCATCAAAATTTTATTATGAAAAAAATTAAAGCAATACCATAAGGCCGATAATAATTGAAGGTGGGGCGATACATCTTTGAAATTTACACATATATAAAGACTATAATAAATATAAAAGGTTATAAAATGTTGAAAAGCTGTAGTCCAACAAACTATAAATTATTTAAAAGTGCTTCAACATTGGCGCAGATGTTCTGGTGCGTGGTAGTGTTGCTGATTCATTGATGGGTAGACCGGTGGTGGGAAACAACGCACGTGTTCGACTGACAATTCATCGTTCTCGCCAGACTTCAAAAATTTATTCAAAATAGCAAAAATTTGCGAGTTAAGGACTTGGAACCTCCTAATTCTATCCACCATCCGTTTCAAGCTCTGAAAACAAAACGTTACACACAACTCGCGTTTAACCAAATACGTACAATTCCTTTCACGATTTCGTCCTTCATATCAACTCTTTGTACTCGAAGAATGTGATAACAAAAATCGAGAGCTTCAAAGCGCCTTTGTTGATCTAGCAGAACGATCATGGTACAACCTGCCCAATGTAAACCTTCTCCAAACATCTCCCTACGTAACGAAAACATGAAAGATCAAGTAAAACATAGACCCTAGATCTTACTCTACTGTGTACTCATTTTCGCTGACTGGAATGCAATAAACGAACTGCAGCGCTGACCATAACCGGTGGAATTCGGTACATTCGTCTACGTTCATCACGCCATTAGCAGGAGGTGGCCCCACCCACACAGAATCATCCAAGAAAGTCCTTAATCTATTGAGAACAACTTCAAAGATAGACAGACCACAACAGAGTCGTTCCCTCGTTAGTAGATCGCCTTCTTTTGATATCAGAGATTGCTGCATGAACAATTTTTAGTATTGTTACCTTTACGTCCAACTATACTCACCTTCGCGGTTCCTAGCTTTTCGATATTTGGTACAATCTGCAATGCAGCATATTTGGCTTCAAGTCTTTTTTGTTTAGTTTCAGGCTTTTCGCCTTCTTTACAATACGGCCTTGGAAGAATATTTTGGAAAGGTGCCGCTTGTAACAAATCACATACTTCTTCCTGAGACAAGGCTTGCTCCATCAAGAGACAGAAGAGTATAATGTTACCAAATTCGCGGAAATTGTGGAATAGTTCAGTTCTTGCGTCCGGGTACTGGACAATATCGTTCAATTGAGCGTGATAGTAACTCAACACACCTGGAACGGTCGTAATGATAACGGGTCAAAATAAAACGAAAAGTACCTGGTGAGCCATAGTCATAACGCGGTAGTTTACAGTGCTTTGGCATAGCTTCCATTAGAGTTTTTGTGAATTGGAGCAAATTCCCTTGAATCAAACTTTTAACGATTTTTAAGAGTTCCTCCATCACTACAGCGATCCCTTGATAACCCAAAAGTTTACACATTGTGTGGAAATGTTGCGGACCGACGAAACCTGAGTACTGGCCGTACTGAGTAGTATAGGCAAGATTTAGTTGTTTGCTGCCCCACATGTAATGGTGGGACATTTGTGGAGGCTTATCTCGATGAACAGCACCAGCAAAAGCAATCTGTCCTCTATACTTCGTGAATCTATGAATTTAGGGTAATAAAAACGACTTTCTTGAGCGTAGATACCTACCTATTTGTAGCGGCATTGTAAACATAGTTGGGCAAGAAATCATAATTCAGTTCCCAAAAAACGTGTAAAGTAATTCTACCATAAGGCGCCAAAACGTTGTGGTTAGCTTCACGATACATGGAATCGAAGTCATCCAAAGCTAACCATTTGCTCAACAGCTTATGGCATAACCTGTTGACTTGTAGAAGACCTTCCAGTTCCATCACACCAGTTATATCACCACCTTCGAATTTGCTGATGGCCAAATCGAGGCTCTTTTGCATGTCTGCGTTAATTCTTTGGGTAATTAGTTTGTTGAGATCTATAGATCGCCCTAGCAACTGTACATGTCTTTGTTTTAATAGCGTTTCGTAGCGGTTTGCTCTGGGATACGGGAGCAAATAGGCCCCCAAAGCGGCACATTCGACTCTAAAGCGTTTATCAAGGAAAATACTAAAACGGAGTTGTTATTATTATTACTATTATTGTAGGATTTAGATTACCTAGCCGCCAGTTGTTTATAATATGCAAAAATTTGCTCACTCAACTTATAAACAAACTGATCAAAGCATAAATTGACTTCTGCTTCTACTTCATCATACAAAAATTGTTTTCTAAAGATGGTTAAGGCGTAAAGAGCGCTGTCGTTATAAAGATCGAGGGGATACAACACGTACTCCATCATTGACGGTTCTTTAGTTTTTAGAATATGATCAGTTAAAATCCAAGGCATTGACATATCAATAGGAAATTGTATACGCTTTTCCATTGTGATCAAATCACTACATTCTTCATTGTGGTTGTGTCGCACGGTACATTTCTATGAACGCAAATTATAACAAATTGTTATACTATCACTAAACTTACGTTAATCCGTCTACCCATCGTCATCTCTAAGTAAAATTCTCGGTACCACAGTTGCGACAAGTCGCAACATTGCTGTAACGATTCTGTAGGTTTTTTCAATTAGGGGAGATTTTACCAACGTTCACGTACTTACCGCTAAAACTCAACAAATAATTCCAATAGAACGACGTTTTATGAAACTGATCAATTTGCATCAAATACTGTCCATCTATATCTTTTCTTAGTGTCCGTTTCCCGCCTGACTTATCAGCAATTAGAGACTCTAGCATGGTTCTTACCATATACAATTGTGTGGAGGAAGGGCCAACGTTCCTCCTTGGCACTTTAACGTTGAACCCGTTATCATCCTTTTTGCCCCTTAGAGCCGGATCTTGCAAAGGTTCCACGCCCCGTTGCCAATCGGCACACGTTTCCCTAACCGACATAATAATACTACAAACACAACATTAGTAAGTTCACCTCCACCCCAACTTCCACACCTTCTAATAAGATCCTTCTTATTCTTTATCGCTTTCCTCAACGGCTCCCTCAGCGTGATTTGCACGAAATCCTGCAACTCCGCGTAGATATTCCTCCTAATAGCATCCGTAAAAACGGTCTCCATCCGCGCCATCAGCACTTGTAACCCTTTTATCATCGCGATTACTTCAATCAACGCGAATTTCTCCTCGTCACTGTAATTGTAACGAGTCGCCCTTTCGTACTCTTCCGCTTCCAAAGGGCATTCTTTATTTTGGTGATGATCCGTCGGGTGTAGGAGTTTCCATGAGTAAAGTTCCGTTACTACACTAGTCCACTCCGACAGCAACTGCAACCCCCGTAACGCTAGTTCTGCCGTTTCTTTATTTTCGACGTCGCTACCACTTTCCTTGTAAGTCGTAGTGACTTCGTTACTGTATCGGGCTAATTCACTTATGTACTTAACGTGGTCGTCGCGGATCTGGGGCAAATGCACCATCAAGTCAGCCTGAGGGGAGGGAGTATTGCTACTGGATAAAGGCCATTTACTGGGGTCAAAGTGTTTGCTTCGTTTGATGTAGTTGAAAGGGGCGATCTGCATGTCGCCGAATAGAGGAACGACTTCTAAATTCTGAAAAATAGAGGCGCGAATGACGTGTGGCTCAAAATGGCGGCTATGTTAAGATTACGTTAAGGCAAATTTAGGAAGTATTTTAGTTTTGAGATTAACGTTTTTGTGTGAACCGGTGATCCTCAAATGTGTTGTAGGTGATTGAAGGTTAATGACCGTTCTGAAGCACCAACAGCAAGTTACCAATCTAACACGTGATTAAATAACCGCTTACGATTGGTGCGGTAGCAGCTTCCGTCTACCGTGAAAATTGCTTGAGAATCATTGTATTAACCACTTTTCTTGTTATAAAAGTTAATGCAATAAAGACACTTCTCCTACATGATTGTGATTTACTTACCTTAAAAATTCTATCAATCCTATCCAACCTCAATTTCTTTTTCTGATCTAGCTTGTTAATATTGCACAATTCGCTATCCATTAGGAAGAGTCCAAACCCCATTACTTTTACAAGCATGTGTTTCTCACTAGGCGTGAGATACATCTTAGTTTCAAACATGTGCACGCATATATTTACCACATCCGCAAGCAACTCTTCATAACCGTTAATCCTTTCAAGGTTTTCTTTAACGGCATCGCGAATTTTGTTCTGCGTTGCCAAAAACATGGAAAGATTTTGTGACTCTTGCAAAGTTTGTGAATCTGACATGACTTTCAAAAATTGTGCAGCTCTGCGATATGTAGAATAGTCGTTTTTCACGCTGGATTTCATGTTCTTTAACTCATCTAAGACCGCGAACATGTTAATGAACTTTCCAAGTGTGAGAAGATAAGCTTCTGAGACAAAATCTTTCCTTTTTTCTGTGTGGCATAACCGTTTCACTTCTTCAAAGAAACGTTCAATTGCTTTTTTCTAAACAAAATAAAAAAAAATGTAGTTGGGTTGGCTTTGATAGGCAATTGCGCTTACTTGAAAATACATGAAATTTAATAGTTTGTTCACTTCAGGGGCAAGTACTTCCACTGTTTTTTCATAGATTTCAACTCTGTTGGGTTGTTCATTTGATTTTGGTTGAGGGATAGCTCTCGAGCAACACCTCCAGGTGTATAGCATAACTGCATGTTCTTGACCTTCCTCCAAAAGTTCATTCTAGGACATACTTTTATTAATAAAGAGCGTGTTTTGAGTGAGGTTAACTTTACGAGACTCGCATGGACGGTAGCTTCCTCTATATATTTCGCGATTCCGGTGACAAATCCGTTGCGATCTTCGAAGTTGGTGTCAAAATTTGCCTGATACACTACTGAACATGGTTGGGCTTCTATGCAAGGCTGTTCATCTGGCAAAGGAAGTTCGTCCAAAACGTCGACGTTTGATAATGCATCGCTCAATGATACTCTATCGGTTCCAGCCATTGTAATCACACTACAGTAATATAGGAAAGTGAATAATTAAATCTACAAAAAGTCATTGAAACAATCACAAATAAAATAACACAGAAACGCACATTTGTAAACATGGTTAAAAACGAGAGGTTTTTTTATTAATAACAACGTGAACTAATTTTGTGCTGTTTTAGAAATATTAACATTTTTAGGTGCGGCAGAAGACAAGTAAACAAATGACAAATATTTTACTAGATATGTCAACAACCTCACGCAATAAAAGTTACTAAGTTTGGTGCAATACTTTTCCGAGTGTGATGCAGATATCGACTACAAGATGGCGCGACCGGTTCTTCCCCGGACGTGATTCCACTCTGGGAAAATCATTACTTGAAGAATTTAATTCCCTTCTCGCACTTTGTGCGTATTAAATTTATTTCGCAATTATAACGACAGGCGCAATATTAGAAAAGAAAAAATCGAAGTGTCACACTTTCATATAAATATTTAATTTAAATTGAAATCTGATTCGAGAAAGTAGAATTTTCTCGTAGCACTTTTCAATCGCGTTGCCAATTATTTCTAATGTTCAAAATTGATTACATTAATGATTAGTGTTGTTTAGCGGTAAGATTTCCGGTTCGTGTGTACAAGCTGCTGGCGCAGGCGAGCTTTGAATTTATCACAGGAAAAAATATAATTTATAACAGTCGGCTTTAATAAGTCACCGCTAATTCAGTGAATTTTTCCGGCGATAGATAAGACGCGTTCCTGATCGGTGTCCTTTTAGTTCGGTTGTTAATGACAAAAAAGAGCATCTCAATGAGAAAAATAAAAAAGCCAGTTTAAGGTATGCACAGTCGAATTTTAAGCAACAGCTTGTTATGTTTATAATTCTCAAATTCTTTGCGTTTCTTGCCCTTTCAACACTCGGAATCATAACTCATCCGGATTTGTTGGTGATTTAAAAAATGGTTTAAATCTATCTTGGTGAAACGCTCAACATTCATGACATTTGATGGTTCGCCGTGAGCGGCGAACCTTTACGTACGTTAATAATAAAAATCAATCATGCAGTGTTTTCAGATTGGCAAATTAATAACAATTTAATATGTATTCAACTTCGTTGATATGCTTGAATAGAGGTATTTTCCGATGGTTTATTAACCATAAATTTATATACGGCTTATTGTTAAGTGCAATAAAATCACTCCAACACTCAGTATATTTTATTGCGAATAAACACAGCCATATTTTATTAAATGAGCGCAGAAATTGGGATGAAGGTATTTCATTACAAATATTTTCACCTTTTGTGTCCGTGAATTAATTCAAGGGGCAAACAAACATCCAATCCTAATTAGTTTAATTAATTATGGCAAATAATTTTAGCGAGAAAGTTGTTTTACTTTTAATTACATTATACAGTGTGATAGTGGCTTCTTTCTCGCACTTCTTTCGGACAAGCGTGGACGCATCGCTGCTCCCTCTGTCCGCATACCCCCAAAATATCTCCCATATAAGAATCAATGAAAAATGGAAGAGTGGGATACTACGGACGTCACACGATTTTTACACCTTCACAATGTGCAATAAATTCTCTCCAAAATAAACTTTACTTAATTTAAAAACTGAGTTTACCAACATCGGTTAATACAATGAAGAGCTTGTATTAGCATGTTCGATTATGCTTTGCAAAATTAGTGTAAGTGTGTCACATTTCTTTATAACGAACAGACGTCAAGTCATAAAAGTCGAAGCTACGAGAACGGAGGTTATAAGGTTACAAACACTTTGAGATGAAAACGTGTGCAATCTGAAGCACACTTTCATTATTTTACTCTTTATTTGGTTGGTAATAGTTGATGAAAGATTGGACTGTAGGTGATTTCGGATCACCTGATTATCTCACTATTGTTCCGTAAAAAGGTCACGTTGGTACACCAACTATAATTTACTCTAAAAACGATTAAATATATGGAATAACAAGGAGACGGATACAATGCAAATGACGCTAGTCGTTACAAAACGAGAATATTTTATAATTTGGTTTACACGTTAAAATGTTTACACATAATTGCAATTTTAACATGTTGGACGTAGGTGCAAACATTTCGTTGTTATACAACGTTAAAATTTACAAATTATTAAAATCTTTAACGACCCGTCATATCTACATACTACATACACATGACAGTCGAACATTTACAATAATCATGAAAACTGCTCTTTAACAACGTTTTATAGTTTAATGTGCTATAAATTTCGGTTCGTGTCCACGAATTATAAACGTTTTTATTTTGTAACATCTTTTACGACGCTTTCTGTAATAATCGCGTTTTGTTTGAGTGATGACTTTGTGGGATGAATTCCTATTGTTTTCGAAACTAATATATACAGTTATTTGTATCGAGACCCTAAATTTGAAAGGTGACTTCATTTACGATCTGCTACTAGTACGAAGTGGCGTCTGATGGGCGTGATTTTGCGCACTCATATTAATGTAAATTTGCTAAAAATGTGAAGTAGTTTTAGCCACGCATTTTTCTGCATACTTCAACATATTAAACTGGTATCACGGTAGACTGCTGCCGAATTCAAATACTACTAGTTAAATAAACTTGTTTAAGCGTGCACATTTATGGTTTCGCGTTTTTACAATATTTGTTTTTGTGTGTTGAAGCAGATTTCGTAAGGTCCAAATATTATATTGGAAATTGTCGAAATATAGGTTTCACTTGCAATGATAAGTTAATCAATAGCGGCGTTTTTGTCTAGTTGATTTTATTGTGAAGTTTTTATTGTGTTGAAAATAATATCGCTACAATGAACAGTGAAAGTGTTCCAATAACGCTTTTTTGTGAATGTCCAAGCAAACAATTAACTAACAACCTTAATTTTCTGGGCAAATTGCGAGCGTGATCTTATTAAATGTGTCGTTGAATTTAAAACTTTCACGGTTTGATTTCGGCGACTATTAATTCAAAATTGATTGTTATTGGATGTCGATTGTGTTTCAGTGCACGTAAAAACGAGGATGGAAATAAACAAAGCACGTTGCGAGAGCGACAGATGCACGAACTCATATTGACATTTCGGAACGGGTTCATTCAAAATATTTAATATAATTTAGTAACTTGATATGGCAGACGAGTGTCAAACGGTCAATTGAAATAAAGAGGGGTCCGAAACAAAAACGCCGTCGCTTTTCAACCAGAATTAATCCAAAATTTGTGGTGGGACTTAAGAAATCACATCTTATTTGTCGAATCTTAAACCAAACATCCGGTGTACACGACGTGCGAAATAATAGGGAGTGTGAAAAAAGTGGAGGAAATTTTCTGGTAAAGTGCTTCTTCTATTTCGATGTCTGTTTCTGTCTATATTAAAATGTTAAACGTTCGGAGAAGAAATCATCTCGCTCTTTGCTCGTTCAATCCGTGTGAAGGCAAAGCCGGGTGAAGTGGTAGACGCGAAAACAAGTGTCAAATTATAACACGCTTGATTCAATTTTGCTCGCTCGAAATGACGGACTGTCACTAACGCATTGCTGGTATTAAGTTCCTATCGGCTCAACCGGTCGTATCGCTGCAGAAAAACGCCCCAACGCACCTTAACACGTCGACACTTGACCCTCCGAAAAACATCGGCGATTTCGAACGTTCCGGCCCACCGACGCTCACCAGGGGAGGCGAACGTCGTTTTTCGCACCTTGAAACGCCCATTTCTTTCCATACTACAGATTTGGGTAATGCGATTAATAGTACGGGACGCCTATGGAGCGGGAGCCCAAATTTTTGTCGTTTTTGTGTCATTTTCAAAGCGGTCTTTTACAACAATGTGTTCATTATTTATTAATGAGGAACACATTTTATACCATTGTTTGGACTGATGGAAGTTTATTAAACGTTTTAAAGCATTAGCCACTCTTTACGGCAATAGTTTCTATATGCAATTAAAAACTGTGAAATTACGTAGTAAATTACAATGCTAATGTAGTTATTAAGAACGAATAGTTAATAATAAAAGTAAAAACTTCAACCGCCGCCACTGCCTGTTTGATTCACAACAGGAGCGCAGTTTCCCTGAAATACGTGAAATATCCCAAAACGAAGTTAATTGAATATCGATTTAGAATTAGGACCTTATGCAGACTCATTTTTGAACATAATGGCTCGCTTTTTACCGAATATGCTAACTACCCACTACCCTTATAAAGACGTTAGATATCATTTTATGGATATACAGCATTCCTAAATTGTTTTATCCCTTCTAGATAAAAACTGCTCGCGTTTTTTCCGTAATCAGGCTCCACGAAAAATGAATAACATTCCTCGCAGTGTTCTTTTTTGTAAACAAGAATGAAAATTTAATGTAAAAATTCAGCTGATTACATTTTTCAAAAGTTCCAATTATTCAAATTTTACGTGCTACGCCCACAGGTTCTAGTTAAATTCTTGTAATACAGGTGTCATGTTGCTGAATGTTTTATGTCGCTCTAACTCATTTATTGCCGTTATAGTGAAACGTATTAATGAAAAATGCAATTAAATCACCTGCGACGGTCAGTTACAGTTTATAAACACACATGAGTGCACTTTATCTACCCTTATGACAGCGTTTGCAAATTTCCATTATTAAACGTGATATAATAAAAGTCACATTAAATACTACAATTAACAAACTTGTATTAAAGCAACGCAGCGATATTGTGTGTAAAAATATGAAAATTTTTGCCTTTGTTCTCAGCACATTCGACAATTACCTGAAGAGATTTTTTGTAGATAGATGTAAAGATGTAAATACATTTTCTTGTACTTTTCGGGTCCTAGAAAGTACGTCGAGCCTCGTTTCTTCCTTTACTCACCCGTTTTTCCAGAATCGCCCACTGAAATACATATTGCAATTTTTAAGAATTTCAAAAAATCCGAATTTAACCCCGAATTTTTCGAAAATAATTCTCATTGCCTCTAAACACGCTATATTTTTGGAATCAGCACGTCAAAATCTATAACACTGCATTTTTTGAGAATTTTTAGGCGACTTTTTCAAAAATGAAATGTTTCCAATCTTCAAAATTCGACCCATTTTTCACCATTTTTGAAACTTAAGGTCGATTTATAAACTTGCCGTTGAGGTTACTGTTCGTCGTTGACGTTGCCGCTGTAAGATAAATACGCAGCGAAGGTTTTTTTTTTAAATATGTGTCCCTTATTTCATTTTATTGGACAAAAAGTGGATTCTTTAT